CATTTTTTATTTCTCCTGTTACGGACTTCCCGTAAAAATACAGGCGGTTGGCAACACTGGACACAGTGCAGACGCACAGCCACATGCCTGTATTCCATAGTCTGTTCAGCCTGAGGCAAGATGCAGGTTGTTTTTGAGCAGGAGGTGTGTTCCAGAGGCAGGCTTTGATTGGTCGTTGGGTGTGGTGGCTAGACAAACTACCCAATACAGACATACTGTGTGTCTGCACAGTGTCTTGTACCTCTCAATGCTTTAAGCAGAGGATGTAACTGACCACACTAACACAGATATACTTCTGTGCTTTGCGTGGTCAGTTTAGAACAAAGAAGAAAAGGTGACTGGTATGGTCAGCCAGGTGCTTCAGATAGAATAAATACATGAAAATGATAGAGACTATGATTTATAAAATACACATATGTGAGAACACTCATAGAAAAAAAATATTAAGGGTAATATACACTATATCAGAAGACGTCTAGCATTTGGGGGTTAAATATAAACTTGTAATGATTCTGACAGTGTCAACATTCAAATAATGTATCTTGACCCATATTCAAGTTAATACAAAGGCAGGTGAATGTGGTTATATTTTCTTTTGTTGAAGCTACCTCAATCATCTTCTTTATCAAGTTACTATAGTTACTGGTCTACTGGTTTTTTTTGTACACTGTATGCCACAGTGTGTCTATTTTTATGTGACTTTATTTTTTTTCGACCTTCTAATTGATTGCAATCTATCTACCATTTAGCATATGCTCAAAAATTAAAACAAAGACATCCTTTATACAAAGTTATTTCATAATATTTGTTAATACTGAGCACTGATTCCATGGCACTTAAACATATGGATCTGCTGTTTATTATCTGAATCTATTTATCATTCATTGTATTTCTAATCTGGGCAATCAAATAATTGAGTACTGTCCGTGATACTTTTTTTGTTGCACTAACACACAATTATAATCACTGACGTAAATTACTGCAATATAATATCTTTTAGATTGTAAGTTCTATGAGCAGGGCCCTCCTATTCCTTTTGTATTGAACTGTATTGTAAATGTACTATCTCCGTTAATATTGTAACATACTACACAAACTGTTGGCACTACATATGTCCTGAATAATAATAATAATAATAGGAAAATTATTTATGATCAGTTAGCAAAAATAAAATCAGCTAACAATGAATGAAAGCATCCGCTCTCTGTGCTTATTTATCAAATCATTATATTATAATTTCCCTCATGTTTGTTCCTTAAATGTTTTGACATCAGTAACCACCAAAAAATAACATTTCAGTCATTAATGGAGTCTTGTGGGCAAAGTCAGCTACTGGCTTCCTATATTTCCTGGAACGTTTGGCAGTAAGCAGGGGCGGATTGACAACTCATGGGCCCCCAGGCAATAGGGGATCATGGGGCCCCTGTGTCCTTGCCGAAACTCAAAAAAGCCTATGAAGAAGGTACCAGGGGCATCTCATGGGGCCCCCTACTGACCCCGGGCCCTCGGGCAGTGCCCGAGTTTCCAAATGGTCAGTCCGCCCCTGGCAGTGAGATATCCTTTGTCATCTTCTCCATCCCTTCTGTTTACATTAAAGTATCAAAAAGGATGTTCCTTTTACATGCTTCATAATATAAAATATAATAAAATGCATCAGGGGACAGTGGGACTTCTCTAAGGCTAGGTTCACATCTGTGTGGGTGGTGCCGCTGGGGATCTGCACGGAAATCCGTGCAGCCGTACCACCCACACAGAGAAATGCTATGCAGAGCAATACAAAGCAGCGTGCTGGAGCTGACAGGGGAGAGATCTGTATTGTTTTACATACAGACCTTTCCCCCGTCAGTGATACTCAGCGATTGCCAGTGGGGAATCTCTGGCCGGGACCCAGCGATCGACAGCTGAAGCCCCCTACCTGGAAAACAAAATCACATATATATACGTGATTTTGTGAAGCCCTGCAGCCGGGTGGGGGGGGGGGGGGGGGGGGGGGACTGTGATGTGGGGGTTGTAATTGCAAGGAGGACTGTGATGTAAGCAGGACATTAATGTTGGGGTGCTCTGATGGGAAAGGGAGTTGTGATGTAAGGGGGGCTGTGATGGGAAAGCCCTGAGTCATAGAAAAATTAGATTTGGACCTCTGACAAAAGAAGATGTTACCAACCGGACCTCCGTGAATTTTTATTTAGTATCCCTGATATAGACTTTAAAAAGAGAAATTTTAAATGAAAAACAGGAGATGTAGGCTGCTATTGCTCAGCTTTCCTTCTGAAAATGCTAGTTGTTTGGATTTCATGCTGATGCATATGGTGTCATTACTTTGAGGTGTCAACCTGGAGCAACAAATAAAATCAGCACAACTCCTACTCAGTCCAGGTGAGCGACTCTAAATATAGCAGATCTGCCAGCCCACTGAAAACAATGCTCTTACCGTGTAGCCATTTTATTTTTTTTACAGCTCTTTGGAGGTACCAGTCATTGAACAGCCCAGGTATAAAGTCCAGTGGTCAGGAGCATTTAACATAAATTAAGACAGCAATAAACACTTTACAGAGGGTCTGACCCTTGCAGACATAAAAGGTAACAAAAAAGTAAATAAAAATTGATTTAAAAAAATGGTACAGACTAGAAGAACCATTTTTTCTGTCGTCATTTTGCCGTTTCTAAAGCTTAAACAACTGACGGGAGGAAAACTATAGCTACCCTTATAGGACTCTGACCTTTATATAAAGTTATTCATAGATGTTACAACCTGTTTAAAGCTCTAGAAAGTGAAAGTTTTTTTCATCTGATAGCGTATTGTTCTGCTGCACTGGGCTTGTCATCAAGACACATACAGTACATGCATATGCCTTATCAGTGGTGTCCAACTCAATTTCATTGCAGGCCACATCAGCATAATGGTTGCCTTCAAAAGGCTAGTTGTATCTGTAAGATTATGTATACAGTGCAGATTTCAGGAGTACGCAGCGTACAAAGTGCAGAGTTCAGGAGTATGTTACATACTGAGTGTAAAGTTCAGGAGTACACTACATACAGAGTACAGAGTTCAGGAGTGTGCTATGTACAGAATGCAAGGTTCAGCTGTCTTGCACACGCTGTACAACTTACTTCCACCCTTCTTCCTTGGCTCTCACCTCTGCGTCATTCTCCCCCCATCTCTGCACACATCTCCCTCCACAGCTCTCATCTCCCCTCCCTCGCCCAAAGCTTCCTTACATCTCACCATATCTGAATCCAAAGCAAAAAAATATAATATTTTTCAGCCTAACATTTCTTTGATAAGGTGGCTGCATTTATTTCCTTATTTATATTTTCACCTGGTAATCCAGTAAATAAAATTTTCTGTTCTTGCTGAAAAAATCTTAACCTGAAAAGAGAAAATTAATGCAGCCACCGTAAACTAGAATAAGTCACATTTTGTTCTTGAGTTTAGTCATCCTTTAATCCTTTTGTCAAAAGGTCTGCAATATGTAAATACACAAGATTACGAATAAACTTGTTTTTATAACCAGGGCTGCTAAACTGCTAACATTTTGCTAGAGAATTGCAAATATATGCCTGGAATCAGTGAGAAAAACACAAAATTGTTTTTAAGTAATAAACATTTTATCATAATATATTTCCTTCTGTACAAATATGATATCATTTTTACAATTAGATAATTGTGGCATAGCAGGGATTGTGATGACACAACACTGCCACGTGTCAAAATAAATCTTTATAAAATATATATATAATGTAGCTATTTACATTCAGTTCTGATAGAGTGCCTTGAATATTTTCAAATTACAGTCCAACGGTCACTAACATTTATGGTGCCTCCACTTTCTGGTGGCCAGAGTCAGTTGAATGTCTTTCTTCTGCCAATGGATGACCCTGTTGACCACAGCTTTTCCATGTTGGATGTCACCAGCAATGACATAGACCATGGACCTAGAGTGACGGATCATGCTGTGTCCACAGTTGCCATTGATATGCAGCCACTGTTCAATCATGTTGCGTGTATCATATGGAAGCAGCTGGCCTTGTTTAATAAATTCTACTGCACCCTCTGTCACATATTCATGGGTAACCCTTCTTCTTGCTAGCTTTACTTTCACAGCTGTTAAAAAAAAAAATAGAAAAAATGGTTAATTCATGATCTTAGATGTGTTATTTAAACAATAAAAATCTATTTTACTGAATTTTATGAACTCACACTGAAGGATGCACGGCAGAGCAGCCTGTGATTTATTTTTACAGAGCTTTTTCAGCCCTGCCACAATTAAAAGCCTAATGATGTACTTTACTCAATACTATCTGTGGGATGATTGAACATGCAAGCTATTAACACTATCAGCCAATTAGTATATCACAGCCTCCCACTGTTTTACAACACCTAGTGAGGCCTTTAGGAATGCAAATGTAATGAAGAGATTTGCATTTGTGACTATATTTTCATTCTGTTCCAATATCATGATATTAAATTACAATATATTGAAGCGAAATAAAAGCAGATCTGTATGAAAGTTGCAGTAAGTAGATATCTACATGAAGACCCAACAGAAGAAAACCAATTGTAGATCTTTATAACAGTTAAATAAAGCAATACAGAGCAATGAAGCATTTGGGACCTAGCAGATTTGGGAGTGGCTCTTGCTGGTACCCCAGTTTCAGTGTACTGTATATGGTAAGAGCAGGTTTCAAATGTGCAGATACTTCACTCAATTATGTCACTGTATTATATATTCCATAGTCAAAACACCCTCTGAAATAAGCAGAGAACATCATTATGCAAGGCTGTTAACCTCTTTCCGCCCGGCCTATGGCCGAATGGCGGCTGGCAAAATCTCTCACCTTTCCGGGTGGACGCCATATGGCATCCTTTCGGGCATGTGCAGTTTGCGCACCTGCAGAGCCGCGCAGCAGCGCGATCTGTCACCGGTCATGTACCTCGGACACGGCCGATGACAGATGTGAGTACCGGCCTCGTTGCTGGTACCATGTGACCTTCTGTGACCAATCACAGCAGGTCACATGACCGTTGTATACAATAGATGGCTTCATTTATGCCATCCATTGTATACTAGTGTGTCTAGCTGTGAATGGTCCAGGGGCGGACTGACCATTTGGAAACTTGGGCACTGCCCTAGGGCCCGGGGTCAGTAGGGGGCCCCATGAGATGCCCATGGTACCTTTTTCCTAGGCTTTTTTGAGTTTGGGCAAGGACACCCCTGGAATGGTCACAGCGATCACATGCACAAGCTGGGCCAATCACAGCCCAGCTGTGTCATGTGATTAGCCGTGGCCAAATCACAGCTAAGCACAAAAAAAAGAAAAACCCTGAATGAATCGATGTCATTCAGGTAAATGCTTGCTTATAGCAAAGTAATTCTTTGCTATAAGCAAATTGTGTAAAAAAAAAATACTGATCACTTCCCCAAAGTAGTACAATGTTACTATGGTAACATTGTACTACTTTGGTCATAGTGAAATATGGAGAAAAAACAAGTAATAAAATTAAAAATAAAAAAATTAATTAAAAAAAATTCTAATTTTTTTTTTTCATACTGTCACAAGTCAGTGTCCCTGATCACCACCATGCCAGTTATATGATGGTGCTGTACTGCACTGGTGACAGTATGTAAAAAAACAAAATGGTGAAATTCTTTTTAATTTTTTCATTTTCCGAACAATTATGACAAAAAAAAACACAACTTCAAAAAACTCGCCATGCCTCTTATGAAGTACGTCGTACTGTCTACTTTGCAAAAAGGGGTCATTTGGGGGATATCTGTACTGTTCTGACATTCTTGGACCTCAAGAAATTAGATTGGCTGTCAGTACTTCAGAATTGATCAATATTCAGATCAATATTCAGATCAATATTCAGATAGATCTCATAGTTTGCGAACTCTATAACTTTCCTACAGACTAAATAATACATCCTAATTTGGGTTATTTTCACCAAAGACATGTAGCAGAATACATCTTGGCCTAAATTTATGAAGAACAAATAAAAATTTATTTGCAAACTTTTATAACAGAAACAAAGAAAAACTTTTTTTAATTTTCTTGCCTTTTTTTGTTAATTTAGCAAAAAATAAAACCCCAGTGGTGATTAAATACTACCAAAAGAAAGCTTTGTGTGAAGAAAATGATAACATTTTAGTTTGGGTACAATGTTGTATGACCGTGCAATTGTCATTCAAAGTGTGAGAGCGCTGCAACCTGAAAAATGGCCTGGGTAGGAAGGGGGTAAAAGTGCCTTGTATGGAAGAGGATAAGCTGGCCTCACATGGATCAAAATTTGGCTGGTTCAGCAGGGACCCGCTGGCTGAACAAAAAAAAAGTTGACCAATGGAGGGCCAGCTTTTAGCCCATAGCAGGAGTTACCCTCAACCTGCCACTTTGCTTAAATTTTCTTTATAAAAAAAAAAAAAATGACCCAACAGGAGGGCTTCCCCGTCAACACCGTCTGTCCTGCGTGGTTGCAGAAAATAAATTTGCACTGTCTCTAGTCTGTCTTAGTGAATGTGGTGAAGCTCTGATGACTTCCATCATCCTATAATGTGGAAGCAAAAACATTTTTTTTTTCTTGCACATGGTTGGTGATTTTTTGTAAAGTAAATTTTCTCCACAGTCACTAAACCAGTGATTCTCAACCTTCCTAATGCCGCGACCCTTTAATACAGTTCCTCATGTTGTGGTGACCCCCAACCATAAAATTATTTTCGTTGCTACTTCATAACTGTAATTTTGCAGTGGGAGGAGTAGTGCCACATCACTGATGTCAGTGGGAGGAATAGTGTCCCATCGTTGGTGTCAGTGGGGGGAGGAATAGTGCCCCATCGTTGGTGTCAGTGGGGGGAGGAATAGTGCCCCATCGTTGGTGTCAGTGGGGGGAGGAATAGTGCCCCATCGTTGGTGTCAGTGGGGGGAGGAATAGTGCCCCATCGTTGGTGTCAGTGGGGGGAGGAATAGTGCCCCATCGTTGGTGTCAGTGGGGGGAGGAATAGTGCCCCATCGTTGGTGTCAGTGGGGGGAGGAATAGTGCCCCATCGTTGGTGTCAGTGGGGGGAGGAATAGTGCCCCATCGTTGGTGTCAGTGGGGGGAGGAATAGTGCCCCATCGTTGGTGTCAGTGGGGGGAGGAATAGTGCCCCATCGTTGGTGTCAGTGGGGGGAGGAATAGTGCCCCATCGTTGGTGTCAGTGGGGGGAGGAATAGTGCCCCATCGTTGGTGTCAGTGGGGGGAGGAATAGTGCCCCATCGTTGGTGTCAGTGGGGGGAGGAATAGTGCCCCATCGTTGGTGTCAGTGGGGGGAGGAATAGTGCCCCATCGTTGGTGTCAGTGGGGGGAGGAATAGTGCCCCATCGTTGGTGTCAGTGGGGGGAGGAATAGTGCCCCATCGTTGGTGTCAGTGGGGGGAGGAATAGTGCCCCATCGTTGGTGTCAGTGGGGGGAGGAATAGTGCCCCATCGTTGGTGTCAGTGGGGGGAGGAATAGTGCCCCATCGTTGGTGTCAGTGGGGGGAGGAATAGTGCCCCATCGTTGGTGTCAGTGGGGGGAGGAATAGTGCCCCATCGTTGGTGTCAGTGGGGGGAGGAATAGTGCCCCATCGTTGGTGTCAGTGGGGGGAGGAATAGTGCCCCATCGTTGGTGTCAGTGGGGGGAGGAATAGTGCCCCATCGTTGGTGTCAGTGGGGGGAGGAATAGTGCCCCATCGTTGGTGTCAGTGGGGGGAGGAATAGTGCCCCATCGTTGGTGTCAGTGGGGGGAGGAATAGTGCCCCATCGTTGGTGTCAGTGGGGGGAGGAATAGTGCCCCATCGTTGGTGTCAGTGGGGGGAGGAATAGTGCCCCATCGTTCGTTGGTGTCAGTGGGGGGAGGAATAGTGCCCCATCGTTGGTGTCAGTGGGGGGAGGAATAGTGCCCCATCGTTGGTGTCAGTGGGGGGAGGAATAGTGCCCCATCATTGGTATTAGTGACACCAATGATGGGCACTATTCCTCCCACTGACACCAATGATACTTACCTTGCTGACTCCTGCTCCAGCCTGGGCTCGCTCCCTCCCTCTCCCATCTACAGCCAGCATACCTGGCTGCAGCAGCACCATCTGCACGCTACAGACACTTACCTGTCAGCTGTCTTCCTTCTCCGGCCACTCCCTCGCTCGATCTTCTTTAATCTTCACGCTGCTGCTTGGCTCCTCCTCTCCAAGCTCCACCTCCTCGCCGGTGATTGGCCGCCTGTGTGCCTCTCCTGAGCTACAGTTCTGGCGGCCAATCACTGGCGAGGAGGCAAAGCTGTTGAGTGATCCCGGGGATGTGGCCAGATGACAGGGGCGGCATGTCATCCCGCACACACATCGCAGTCCAGGGAAATGTGGACGTATCTGCATGTGGGCGGACCCGCCTGGAGACTGATAGAGGAGCGGTGTTTCGGTTCCTAAGACCATCGGAAATACGTGTTTTCCGATGGTCTTAGGAGACCCCTGTGAAAGGGTTGTTCGACCCCCAAAGGGGTCGCGACCCACAGGTTGAGAACCGCTGCACTAAACTAAAGGAAAACTCCCTTGCAAAACTTATTTTCCTTTAGTAAATCAATCACACTAGATTCAATACTTTCTGACCTAGAATGGATAACAGTTTTCAGTTCTGGGTCAGTGAGTCTTAGTATTGAAACTAGGGCCAGATTTACAAAAAGGCATGGCAGTTCTGAACCTATAGGCAGCAGATGCAAAGAGCTATGAACCACACATTGGGACATCAGAAGTTGTGTTTCTACAGGTTGCAGTAATAGAAATTTAGCCCCAATTAAAGCCATACTCCTAGAATGACAGCCAGGAGCCTAGCATTATTAAAAGAAAGCTAGCAATGGCAGACATTATAGACCCCTCTCATTTTGCACCCAAAATAGTTTAGACAACTTTCTCTAATTCTGATTACTAGAAAATGGCAACATGGATTTAAAAAGTCAAAGTGCTCTCTATAGTGACTTTTACCTAGACTATAACCAGTACAAACACAGAATGCAACCCCTCTCTTTCCAACACAAATCACGGAACTTACCAAAGTCATTGTGACAGAAAGCATCCAGGGCAGTTTTATATGAGTAAGTCTCTTCAATCAGTGGGCATCCCTGACATGTTGGTTTTGGCAGTTCTGCAATGGAAACAGATAACAGTTTTAATATTACAGAATGAGACGATACATAGTATATGAAATCGTAACACAAAAAGGTATAATTGTATAAAATACTTAGACTAGACTAACTAAAATGCCATTTAAGTTAAGGTAGTTCTTATTAAAATATATTTATGAAGGGTTAATTACAGCCTGTCAACTGTTAAGAGTACGTGCTTCCCTCCTAACAAACAACCATTGGTTATCTAGCTCAAATTCTACAGCTATTTACTTTACACATGACTCCCAATAGTAGTTACCTTTGTATTTGTACTGGTACTCTTTGCCAATGTTGTCAAGGCACATGTCATCTCCAGCAGGAAAACGGTCACAGTTTAGGCTTTCAGGCCAGGATTGGTCATTGCAAGCCAACACAGGAGCACAGCTGTCTCTCACGGCTTCACACATGCTGCGACAAGGTGGGATGAACCTGCAAAGGAGAGGTCAGGTCAATTTCAGGTCTAGTCCAATGTAACTGCACTATTGTACATTCTATAGTCATGTTTTTGTCAATATCCTGCTGGGAGACCAGTACTCTGTAGTCTATGTTTTTACAAAGCCAAATTTGCACATCAGTAGAATTGCTATTAGCATTTGTCAGACCTTTGACTCTGTTAAGTTAGATTCCATAGACAAAGGCAATAAAAGGCAGAAATTGCTTGAACAGGGTCAAACAAAATAGATTGTATTTAATTTGAATGGAAAGTATTTAATCCCCCTTTTCAAAGTACTGCAATACAGAAAATACTTATATGGCCATCTTTGAAATTGCAGGTGTAATTGTCTGCACCAAACGCTCAATAAATGATAATCTAAACAAATGGCTTCATTTAAACATATTATAGACTTAGTTAATGATAAGAACATGTTCCAATGTGATGACTGAAAGCACACATTTTGTAACCTAGTCTATACTAACATTTTGTAACCTAGTCTATACTAAGCTTCAGGTCAGGTGTAAGCAGAAGATACT